ACCTGGATTACTGAGATGCATCAGGACGCTTCAGAATTAGCTTTTGCTAAATTTTCACAGTGTGTTAGTGCTTTAGAATTAGGGGACCTAAATATTTGAGTTAGTGCTTTAGAATTAGGGGACCTAAATATTTGAGTTAGTGCTTTAGGGCTAATGGAACTAATTTTTAGATTAGTGCTGCCCACCACTGTATATAACCATATGATCAGAAACATTTCCAATAATATGTAACTAAGCAGTCATAAATGCGTCTGGTTTTTATACAGTTTGCTTCTGTGTAGAATTCAAAAGTTGAGTCTAAAACTGAAAATATGTCAAAGTGTGATTTTATCATTAAATTCTTTTGAAGTTGGTGTTTTGATAAGTTTTGCTTCGAACAATGAAGTGCTTTTGCTTTTCACTAGATGTCAGCAGTGCAACACACCTTTAGGTTTCTGTGGACAATTTTCAGAGAGTGCAGGTAAGCCACAGCCTCCAGCACCTGCCTCATAACGTTGCTGGTGTCCCTCTCTGAGTAGTAACCCTGATCCAAGATCCAGTCAAAGACCTCTCTTCCTGTTGCACTGAAAAAAACAAGATATTTAGGATTAAAATATCAGTTACATCACCCGTTTCAAAACGTGCTTGCAGACGTGTTGGTTTTACTTACAGCTCCAAAAATATGAAGTACTCTTTCTTMGTTTCAAATGCATCAACCAGCTGAAGGATATTATGATGTTTTACCCTTTAAATTACAAGAAAACAATTAGATGCAGATCATAACCACATATACTAGATATTTATGACAGTTATGAGACCATGGATAAATGAACCAAAGCCTCAAAATATAGCCCACATGCCATCATGATGCCTCAGGACAGCTGCAGGTGAACACCACAATGACTGACAGCACCGGCTACATTTATGGGAACTATTTTCAGCTGCATATCTCCAGCTATGATTTATATTTATTAAAGCAGAACCTGACTCAAAATAAAATCAAATTTAGATTTTATAACTTTCTGACAGCGGGCAAATTATCATAGGACATTTTGCTTTCCTTTTTGATTTCATAGCTCACTGGTCACCATGTTTTTCTCAACAAAAGGACAATCTTTCAGACTGAGTGTTTTACTCACATCTTTAAGATCATTATCTCATTCTTGGCCGCTTTCCTCACTTTCCTTCCGTCCTTTTTGTGGAACTTTTTACACGTGTACATTTTCAAGGTGTTCCTGTCCTTCGCCCGAAATATCTCACAAAACTCCTCTCTGTAGAAAAATAATTTAAAAAATCCACCACAAACATTTGYTGTGTTTCACATAAAACTCAGTGTTTCGTGTCAGAATTGACTAAAGTGCGGATGTACTCACGATTTAACGACTTGTCCCAGGTCATATTTGTCAGTCACCTCCGAGGGACTGTTGTAATCCTTCTTCTCCCCAAGTGTGAGACAACCAAATGGCATGGCAGCTTGTGCCCTAAACCAGGGAGCGTCCTGCCGCAGCACAACCTGCAAGAAATAAAACATTAAGCAAACATGTGGTAAAGATTTGTTTTGACACACAATAGAAACCTGTAACTATGGACTTTAAAAAATAAAATATTAAATATAAAAAAGAAATCCACTGTAAAGTACAAAACTTTCTGGACAGATGAACTGTTTTAGCCAATGAAACAAATTGTTGCTCTGTGATGCTCCTAACACAAAACGAATGCAGTAAATCTGTGAACTCATGCATAAGGAGCAATTTGGCCTTATGATCAATTCCTTCTCAGTCTTTTTTTCCCCTTTTTTTAAACACATCTGAGAATACAGTCGGAGAGTGGAACTGAGCATGTGAGGGCAACTTATTTCACATTACCACAGGAGCAACACAACATAAAATTGACTTATTTTAATAATGGAACTGTCTGCAGTGAGCTCGGCGAGGCTGTGGAGCTCGTTCCTCTCCATTCTGCGGTGAGTCAACACTGTACTGCAGCAACAGCAGGAGCTGCTGCAACACTTCCTTTTGTCTCCTTTGGCTGTAAAGATGAACTGAAACTATAAATTTTGTCTACTTATTTAAAGATTTGTGGAGGCTGAAAATAAGATTTTAACTTGCAAGCCTCAAAGGCAAAAAAAGAAGAAGAAAACGAATACAGAGGGTAAAGATTTTAGCATTTTAATGTCAAAGTCAAGGAAAAATAATGAATAGCATGCTTTCACATCTTCACAGGTAACTTCTGGTAGTGAGATCATAATTAGGTACAAGGGGAAGAAAGTGTTTGAGAAAAAATTAAAAAGTTGATACTTGTAGCTCATAATCATGTCAAAATGACCTGAGGACAAGCCTTATGGGTCATTTTGACCCAAGGGCAGCAGGAGGGTTAAAACTTTGAATAATTGATTTTGTCCCCTTGTGTTCATTTTTTTGTTCCTGATTTCCTCTGTGCCACCAACCACTTCTCCCAGAACTTTATAGTTCATCTATGCTTCCTCAGTCAGTCCATCATGCTCTGTCCTTGTCACAGCTGCAGCCACTCCTCCCATCAGCCCTCACATACATCCCGTCAGTTTTGCAGCACACTCCTCCAGTCAAACATTGTGCATTTCATTTATCATCCAATCTGTCCCATATTTATTTTTCTGCTCCATTCCTTGAGTTTTGTAAATGTTGCTGCCACATCAGCATTTTGGTTTTGTTTAAAATAGACTGAATGAATTCTTGGGTCCAAACCTCCTGAAACTGTGATGAATATGCCTTTACAGGACTGAAAAATAGTTAGCCTTGGACAGTTCTTTTCCCATAATATTTTTGTTGTAGCTCAGAACCTGAGCGATCATCACATCTTACAATGATCATGTGATCAAATCCACAGGGGGCATTTAGGTAACAAGTTGTATCTATTAAATAAAAWGTTTCCACAATTAGACAAAATGTGTAAATGATGAGATTTGTCTTGATGAAGTTTCTGTTTTCTTTGACACGTTTCTTTGCCACTTTCACAACCTGGCTGCCAAAAATCCTCAACAACTATCCCAGTATTAGGATGATATAACACAAAATGATTGGCTGCAACAGGATAAAGGAACAAAGCTGTTTTTAAATTAACTATGGTCCACTGGCATGAAAGGTGGGCAATCATGTTAATTGCCTGTCTGTGTGTCTGTTAACATTTTTTTGTGAACCAAAGAAAAAACAACAGATTTTTATGAAACTCATTGAAAATTTGGATTGACCTGACATACAACTGATCAACCTTTGAAGTCAGCATGATTCAAGATGGCCACCACAAGTAACTGACTTTGTCTAACACACACAAAAAAACTGCTGAAACTCAGTCAGTTTGGCAGATAGTAAGCTATAATTTGAGCATATACCAAACTTTGTGAGGTTTTTGTTCACAAATTGGCATTAACTGGTGGAGTTGACCCTATCTGTTAGCAAAATATTGCTAAACTAATCTATTAGCCTCCTATAAGAAGTCACTGTATGTAAATTTACAACTGATTACCTTTTAGACTCATTTCTCTTCATTTTATGCGTTGTAAAATAACGTATTAATTGACTTTGTGCACTATGCATCAACATAAACACATCAGAGTTATCTCAACAGCTAATTACCATCGGCTGTCTTTCTGAAGGTAAAAACAAATTAAAGCTTGCCACCAAAGCTAAAAGACATTAGCAAACTCAAAATTGCTCACGTCAAAGCTGAAAAAAGGCTGCAACTCAATCTGTTTTACAAAAAATGTAAACTTTAGTGTGGTGGCAGCTGAGAGTACATCACATCACACAAGCTCTTACTATTCAAGATAATAAGGAATATGCATTTTCCAAATAAATGCTAGTTTCATCAGTAAATACTGTACATTTACAGTATAGGTTGAGAGTCTATATAATGTCTTGTGTCAGTAACTCTAAATTTGAATGTCCAAAGTTGATTACTGAGAAGATCAATGACTAACAGCTAAACGTTACTGCTCACAGACAGTGCCTTTATGGAAAACAGAGACTTTTTTTGTAAGTCTTACAATGGAAACAACAGCCAGTGAAGAAGAGTGGGAGTACAGAGATTCTGACTGTCTGCAGCCTCAGTCGAGACCAGAAGCAGACGATTCTCAGAGATGGCGTCCGGAGGCTGCGAACAAAGTAAATGTAGTCCACAAACAGAAACTTTCAAAGAAAGGTGCACATGAAATGTGTGCCCTGCCTTCACATCACTTTCTTGCTTGCATTCAATTAATGTGAAAAATTAAATGTAGAACGTGGATTCATTTTGAATTTCTTTCATTTATTTTTTTCCCTTTTTATGATTTTTTTTCCTTTTAATTAATAAAATATCCCATCCAAAACATGAAAATAATCGTAAATTGGGACAAATTATTGCATTATTGAATTTAATCTTTTTTTGTTTTATTCTAATCAACCCATGGCTGAGTACACAAACACAGTTGAAATAGATAAATAAAATGTAACAGTAACACAGATCCATTTTTATTTCATGTTCTCTTAGAGAAATACATACAACTGTGCAGAATTAGTTCATATAATTTTTCATTTTCATGCTTACACATAAAATAGGTTTTTATTTTCCTTTTTGGCAATGTGTAGTTTATGTTCTCGCAACAGGAAAATTATACTTTTAGTTTTATTTATTTTAAAGGAAAATTTATTATTATTAAAGCAGMGCAGAAGGGATTTTTTTTCCATTAATCTGATCCTGAATGAAAACCAAATATTCTACTATAAATATTTAACAGGTAACTTTAAGACACTGCTGTAAATGAACAACAGCAAAACAACTGCAGGCAGTGCTTTCAGAGATTAGCTTCATTTTTGAAGGATATAAACTATTGTGAAGTTGAGTCCAAGCATGCTAAACCATCTAAACTCTGGTTACAGTTTATGATAAAAAGTAAACAACTTCTTGCACAGATTCTAATCAAATTAAAGTTTATAACTGGGGTCATCTTTACATTTTATTATTCCAGACAATGACTTTTACAGCTATTCCATTCCTCAACAAAAAGGAGATTTTTTGCAGCAAATCCAAGGCTTAAAATATAAAAACAAATGCTAAAGTTATTATTGCAGAGGTCTATCTTCAGCGATTTTAGATTTTGTACAACAATTTATTTGTTCAACATGCAGGATGCACTGAAATGAACCTGTTCTGTTCTAAAGGAAAAACGCTCTCTGTTCTCAATTTGACTGGAGGATGGGCAGCATTTCAGAGATGCACTCCAGATAAATAACATTCTCTACATTCACTCTGCAACATCAACATCCAAAACACTTTCAGGTTTTCACATACATTTTTATGTGCTGTCCACACATTAGAAATATTTGTTCTCCTAACCCCTCCCCCCTGAGGTTTAATRAGACTCAACTGATTTTGCCATCATAAAATAAATTAAAATATTAAGCTTAAAAAACTATGATAGCATCAGCTTAGAGCATTAAGCAAACAACATTTCAAATCGTGCTTTTCTGGGAAGCAATATTCTAATTTTCACTTCATCCTTTCACCACGTCAGAGAGAGAGACAATCCTCCAAACATCAGGCATTGTTCAAGGAAAGCACTGAATCACAATGCATCAAAGCTCCCCACACCTGTTTGTGGAAGCGCAAAGCTTCTGAATCACCAAGAAGCAAAAACTTAATTGCAGATGGAAGAAACAAGTTTCTGCAAACTTGTTTTTCCTCTTCTAAAGAAAATTTGAGAGATTGAAGGCTGTTCTTTACTAAACAGAGAAAAGGACAGGAAAGGGGCTTGACTAATGCTGAATAAAAGATATTTTGTCTGAGAAATCTTATAGGCTCCTCTGTTAAAAGGAAAAATAAGTGCTGTTTTAACTTAATGCTGTCACAGATTTAAAAAACTGTGAATGTTCATCTAAAAAATGGTTATATCAGCTGCATTTCAAATAAAGATAAATTCTTCTCAATTTGGATGTTTTATTACTTCTGTGCCACTGTCACCTAAATAACATAAGGGATCAGTGTATCTTTTGGTCATTGGATTTTTATTTTAGAAACGGGTATTAAAAAACAAGAATTGAGTGGACATTTGATTTTTGTTTTAAAATACTGAAATTAAAATTAAAATACAAAGCGTGTTTCATTCTTAGTGTCAAAAAGGGACAAACAAAATTTTAACAATGATTTGAGTTTCCTTTTCTGTTTCA